CAGGCTACAGGGTGGGTGTCAGCCTGTACACCACAGGCTACAGGATGGGGTCCATCTGTACACCACAGGCTACAGGGTGGGGTCCACCTGTACATCACAGGCTACAGGATGGGGTCCACCTGTACATCACAGGCTACAGGATGGGGTCCACCTGTACACCACAGGCTACAGGATGGGGTCCATCTGTACATCACAGGCTACAGGATGGGGTCCACCTGTACACCACAGGCTACAGGGTGGGGTCCATCTGTACACCACAGGCTACAGGATGGGGTCCACCTGTACATCACAGGCTACAGGATGGGGTCAGCCTGTACACCACAGGCTACAGGATGGGGTCCATCTGTACACCACAGGCTACAGGATGGGGTCCACCTGTACACCACAGGCTACAGGATGGGGTCCATCTGTACACCACAGGCTACAGGATGGGGTCCATCTGTACACCACAGGCTACAGGATGGGGTCCATCTGTACATCACAGGCTACAGGATGGGGTCCACCTGTACACCACAGGCTACAGGGTGGGGTCCACCTGTACATCACAGGCTACAGGATGGGGTCCATCTGTACATCACAGGCTACAGGATGGGGTCAGCCTGTACACCACAGGCTACAGGATGGGGTCCATCTGTACATCACAGGCTACAGGATGGGGTCCACCTGTACACCACAGGCTACAGGATGGGGTCCATCTGTACATCACAGGCTACAGGGTGGGGTCAGCCTGTACACCACAGGCTACAGGGTGGGTGTCAGCCTGTACACCACAGGCTACAGGATGGGGTCAGCCTGTACACCACAGGCTACAGGATGGGGGTCCATCTGTACACCACAGGCTACAGGATGGGGTCCATCTGTACACCACAGGCTATAGGATGGGGTCAGCCTGTACACCACAGGCTACAGGATGGGGTCCATCTGTACACCACAGGCTACAGGATGGGGTCCATCTGTACATCACAGGCTACAGGATGGGGTCCACCTGTACATCACAGGCTACAGGGTGGGTGTCAGCCTGTACACCACAGGCTACAGGATGGGGTCAGCCTGTACACCACAGGCTACAGGATGGGGTCCATCTGTACATCACAGGCTACAGGATGGGGTCAGCCTGTACACCACAGGCTACAGGATGGGGTCCATCTGTACACCACAGGCTACAGGATGGGGTCCATCTGTACATCACAGGCTACAGGGTGGGTGTCAGCCTGTACACCACAGGCTACAGGATGGGGTCAGCCTGTACACCACAGGCTACAGGATGGGGTCCATCTGTACATCACAGGCTACAGGGTGGGGTCCACCTGTACATCACAGGCTACAGGATGGGGTCAGCCTGTACACCACAGGCTACAGGATGGGGTCCATCTGTACATCACAGGCTACAGGATGGGGTCCACCTGTACATCACAGGCTACAGGATGGGGTCCATCTGTACATCACAGGCTACAGGATGGGGTCAGCCTGTACACCACAGGCTACAGGATGGGGTCCATCTGTACATCACAGGCTACAGGATGGGGTCAGCCTGTACACCACAGGCTACAGGATGGGGTCCATCTGTACATCACAGGCTACAGGATGGGGTCAGCCTGTACACCACAGGCTACAGGATGGGGTCCATCTGTACATCACAGGCTACAGGATGGGGTCAGCCTGTACACCACAGGCTACAGGATGGGGTCCATCTGTACATCACAGGCTACAGTATGGGGTCAGCCTGTACACCACAGGCTACAGGATGGGGTCCACCTGTACACCACAGGCTACAGGGTGGGGTCAGCCTGTACACCACAGGCTACAGGGTGGGGTCAGCCTGTACACCACAGGCTACAGGATGGGGTCAGCCTGTACACCACAGGCTACAGGGTGGGTGTCAGCCTGTACACCACAGGCTACAGGATGGGGTCCACCTGTACATCACAGGCTACAGGGCGGGGTCAGTCTCTACATCACAGGCTACAGGATGGGGTCAGCCTGTACACCACAGGCTACAGGGCGGGGTCAGTCTCTACATCACAGGCTACAGGATGGGGTCAGCCTCTACATCACAGGCTACAGGGTGGGGTCCACCTGTACACCACAGGCTACAGGATGGGGTCCACCTGTACACCACAGGCTACAGGATGGGGTCAGCCTGTACACCACAGGCTACAGGATGGGGTCCATCTGTACATCACAGGCTACAGGATGGGGTCAACCTGTACACCACAGGCTACAGGGTAGGGGTCCACCTGTATATCAGACACAATCATCTCCCCTGAACTTCTAAACATCACAAAAACCATCATACAAGTTTTGATAATCAAAATACAAATTCTAAATATGATGACTGTCCTTCAATACAAATCACCAGTACTTTCAAAACCAACTTAGGAAACATAATACTCTTAAGAAAGCCTCAGAAACCTCTATGATCATCTTCCTTGGCGATTTCAACTTCATCTAAAATGAACAACATGTGACTAATACATTTTGTTCAGCAGTCTGAGTGAACAGTTGAACACAAATGACCTGTTGCAGGTGTGTGATAGATATATATCTATCTATCCAACATATATCTATGATAGATATATCTATGATATATCTATGATAGATACCTTAAACCAACAAACATCAGAGGCAACAGGAAAACTCCCTACGACATATTTTTACAATGATCAACTAGTTTGGATCATAATGATTACAAATATGCTGATTACAAATGATTACAAATGATTACAAATGATTACAAATGTGAGTTACTCAGATAACAATCATACTGAAGTACAGACACACACAGACAGGCAATAACAGACATAACAGGGCAATAACAGGGAGCCGGTCGGACAGCACGCTGGACTTGTGATCCTGTGGTCCCGGGTTCGATCCCAGGCGCCGGCGAGAAACACTAGGCAGAGTTTCTTTGACCCTATCCCCCTGTTACCTAGCAGTAAAATAGGTACCTGGGTGTTAGTCAGCTGTCACGGGCTGCTTCTTGGGGGCGGAGGCCTGGTCGAGGACCGGGCCGCGGGGACACTAAAAAGCCCCGAAATCATCTCAAGATAATCTCAAGATAGGGTGTTGAACAACCGTGGAACCCCTTGTGTGAACACACTGCTCTCTGTGCCTTTGGCACCCTTATAGAACCCCCATGGCACTGGTTCTATTTTGCATTTCCTTCCGTACCTTTCGCTTCAGTATATTCTACCGAGAAAATTTGGGGTCTGGTCCTCCAGTATATTCCATGCAGTTATTTGATCTCTCTCTCGTCTCCTTTCCAGAGAGTACATTTTGAGAGCTTTGAGACGATCCCAATAATTTAGGTGTTTTATTTCGACTATGCGTGCCGTATATGTTCTCTGTATTCCCTCTATTTCAGCAACCTCTCCTGCTCTGAAGGGGGAAGTGAGTACTGAGCAATACTCAAGACGGGACAACACCAGTGATTTAAATAGTATTACCATTTCTGTAGAGGTCTCTAGATTTGAACGTTCTCATAATCCAGCCTATTTTCCTGGCCTATTTTCCTATAGGCCCAAAAGCCTATTTTCCTGGCCCCCGCTATATTCGCTCGGTTATATTCACTCAATGTCAGGTCGTCAGACATCATAATTCACAGATATTTTATATGTTTTCCTTGTATGATTAAGTCTGTAAAAATACAGGAAAACCCCTAGTAAAGAATTTCAGGCAGTAAATATTATCCCCATTGCAATAAGACCTAATTGAATTACTCCGATTAGACAAAACTATGATTATTTTGTGTACAAAACTCGTTTTCTATTTGCCATAACTGTGTATATCGGAAGATTATGATGTATTAGGTGAGACTGTTAGGCTACGCTGGCTTAGGCTAGGCTGGGTTAGGCTAGGCTGAGTTAGGCTAGGATGGTTTAGGCTAGGCTGGCTTAGGCTAGGCTATGCAAGGATTGGTTGGAATAGTTTCAATGAAGTTTGTTTTCGATTGGCGACCTGTCTTGAGTAATATGTGAATTAAACACCCCAAGCCCTCCTCCCCCATGTTCCACAAGTGCGTCCATGTTCTCCCCAGACACCCATGAGGCGCTGAACAGCTCACCACACGTGGGCAGGTGTGGAGGGAGTAGGTGTGGGGAAGGAAGCGGGGAAGGTGTGGGGGAAGGGAAGAAAGCAATAATGTGATTGGGGAAGTGTGTGAGGAGCAGTCTGAAAGTTTGGAGCGGGAGCAGGTGTGGACTAACAGTTGGTCCAAGGAAATGGAAGACTGGTCGAGGAATGGCAGTCGATGTTGGTGTCTGGGATGTTACCTGGATCATACCTGTAGAGGGTTCTGAGAGTTCTTCTACTCCCAGAGTTCGGCTTGGGGCCCAGGCTTGACTTGTGAGAGTTTGGTCCACCAGGCTGTTGCTTGGAGCGGCCCGCAGGCCCACATATACCTGGTTGATGGGGTTCTGGGAGTTCTTCTACTACCCAGGCCCGGCCCGAGGCCAGGCTTGACTTGTGAGAGCTTGGTCCACCAGGCTGTTGCTTGGAGCGGCCCGCAGGCCCCACATATCCACCACAGCCCGGTTGGTCTGGAACTCCTTGCAAGAACATATCTAAGTGCCTCTTGAAGACGTCCACCTTTGTTCCAGCAATATTTATCATGCTTGCTGGGAGTGTGTTGAACAGCTGTGAACCGCAGATGTTCAGACAGTGTTCACTGATTGTGCCTATGGCACCTCTACTCTTCACTGGTTCTATTCTGCATTTCCTTCCCTACGTTTAGCTCCAGTATGTTGTTATTCTACCGTGCAAATTAATCTTTCATGTATTATTTGATACCTCTCTCGTCTCCTTTCCAGAGAGACCATTTTGAGAGATTTGAGATGGTTGGTGTGGGGTGTAGGTGTGGGGTGTTGATGTGGGGTGTAGGTGTGGGGTGTAGGTGTGGGGTGTAGGTGTGGGGTGTAGGTGTGGGGTGTAGGTGTAGGGTGCAGGTGTGTGTGTGTGTGTGTGTGACAAGCGCCGGAATAAGCATGAGCCAAGTGCGTTACCTCAGGTTGGGGTCAGCAAGCCGTCGCAGCAGCAGCAGGTGTAGTAAAGGTTGGTGGGGGCGGGAACAACAGTGGTGGGTGTTGGAGGGGGTGGTAAAGCAGGCAGCAGCAGCAGCAGCAGCAGCAGCAGCAGCAGCGGCAGCAGCAGCAGCAGCGGCTAGCCACACTCTCTCCACCGTACTTCCGCAAGAGTGGGTCCCGTCTCCCCCCACACTATACAGAGGGGGACGAGCGTGGGGGGGGATGAAGGCAGGAGAGGCCCAGACTACACCAGGACCAGTAGCACGGTTCACAGTAGCAATGGGGGTATATAGAGGCAAGCCAGACACCTCACACTGGCGCACGCGCACTCAGTTACACACGCACACACACACACACACCCGTCCGCCTCACTCTCTATACCTCAACTGGCGACTTCAACGCCGCCACGCTAGTACCACCACCTCTGTTGAGGCTGTGACGCTCCACATACTACACACCCGCACCACACACCCGCCCACACCTACGTCCTTACTCCACACACACACACACACACACACACACACACACACACACACACACACACACACACACACACACACACACACATTTAACACAAGGGGAACACGCACAAGGGGACACAGGTGGAAACTGAGTGCCCAAATGAGCCACAGAGATATTAGAAAGAACTTTTTTTAGTGTCAGAGTGGTTGACAAATGGAATGCATTAGGGGTGATGTGGTGGAGGCTGACTCCATACACAGTTTCAAGTGTAGATATGACAGAGCCCAATAGGCTCAGGAATCTGTACACCTGTTGATTGACGGTTGAGAGGCGGGACCAAAGAGCCAGAGCTCAACCCCTGCAAACACAACTAGGTGAGTACAACTAGGTGAGTACACAATTTCAAGTGTAGATATGATAGAGCCCAATAGGCTCAGGAACCTGTACACCTGTTGATTGACAGTGGAGAGGCGGGACCAAAGAGCCAGAGCTCAATCCCCGCAAGCACAACTGAGTACACACACACACATATGTGTGCGAACAAGCCTGAATAGTCCCGCTGAATATATTATATATATATATATATATATATATATATATATATATATATATATATATATATATATATATATATATATATATATATACATAATCAGTATTCGAAGACCTGGTTCAGCTCTTCGGAGGTCGGAAGCGTGCCTAAGACACAGCATTTCCCCCTCTGGATCGCGACATTAAGGCGCTGGAACAGGAAACTGGTCGCTCTTGTGTCTTTAGTTTCCCCAATGAGGTGCTCACCCACCTCTATTATGACTATCAGCCGAGATATAACAGAACATGAGCTGGGATATCAAAGGGATATCCTATATCCTATGATGGGATATATCGTAGTTCCCAAAATGCCCGCTCATATTGGTCAACTTTAAGGTAATTTAAGGTCAATTATCACGTCTTTCCTTGTAATACAAAATGTAAGTTATACATATATGTAATGACTCCAATTATTATAATATCTAATAATAATTGTATATATGTAATGACAATAATTATAATTACTCACAGAAATACAATAGCGTGATATATATATTGAATAAATCCACAAGGGTCGTGACGAGGATTCGAACCTGCGTCCGGGAGCAACCCAGACACTGCGTTAATCGACTGAGCTACGACAGGGTTAAAAAGAGTTGAAACCGAAGTTCTGACATTCTCTATCTATATAGAGATAGAGATAGAAACACGGAGAAGAATTTCTTGTGTTATCTGTTTCTGTAAGTACACACACACACACACACACACACACACACACACACACACACACACACACACACACACACACACACACACCACACAGTGGGGCCTGGTAGCCTGGTGGATAGCTCACAGGACTCGTAATTCTGTGGCGAGGGTTCAATTCCCGCACGAGGCAGAAACAAATGGGCAAAGTTTCTTTCACTCTGAATGCCCCTGTTACCTAGCAGTAAATAGGTACCCGGGAGTTAGTCAGCTGTCACGGGCTGCTTCCTGGGTGTGTGCTTGTGGTGTGAAAAAAGTAGTTAGTAAACAGTTGATTGACAGTTGAGAGGCGGGAGGAGAGTAAATAGGTACCTGGGAGTTAGTCAGCTACCACGGGCTGCTTCCTGGTGTGGGTGTGTGATCGTCTGGGCCTCCTGGACCTCGGTACAGACACAATAGCTTGTGTGACCAACACAACCTCCAGTGTAACAGAGTACTCACACCCCCTCTCACCCCCCCCCCTCGATAACCCACTTCAAGAAACAGGTTCTAACAGTGCACCGCGACAAGACGGAACAAGGTACCCACCACTAGCTGCTGGGTCCTCTTCTTGTCGTCGTTATAGATTCAGCTACTCGGAACAACAGTTGCAAGTAGCACGGGCTATGGTGAGCCCGTAGTGGACTTACCTGGCACAGGAGCGGGGCTGTGTGTGGAGACGGCGGAGCAGCTGACACCATCAATAGTACAGGCTTGATACTTTCTCCTGCTCACAGCACGATCTTCGCGCTAACACAGTCGCACTTGGCCCACCAGACAACGCTATCCATGTCCCAGAGTGTTCGACTTGCTGTAGGGAGGGAGCTTTACCCTCCCACACACACCTGGTGTAGGGAGGGAGCCTTACCCACCCACACACACCTGGTGTAGGGAGGGAGCCTTACCCTCCCACACACACCTGGTGTAGGGAGGGAGCCTTACCCTCCCACACACACCTGGTGTAGGGAGGGAGCCTTACCCACCCACACACACACCTGGTGTAGGGAGGGAGCCTTACCCACCCACACACACCTGGTGTAGGGAGGGAGCCTTACCCTCCCACACACACCTGGTGTAGGGACGGAGCCTTACCCTCCCACACACACCTGGTGTAGGGAGGTAGCCTTACCCTCCCACACACACCTGGTGTAGGGAGGGAGCCTTACCCTCCCACACACACCTGGTGTAGGGAGGGAGCCTTACCCTCCCACACACACCTGGTGTAGGGAGGGAGCCTTACCCACCCACACACACACACCTGGTGTAGGGAGGGAGCCTTACCCTCCCACACACACCTGGTGTAGGGAGGGAGCCTTACCCTCCCACCCACACACACCTGGTGTAGGGAGGGAGCCTTACCCACCCACACACACCTGGTGTAGGGAGGGAGCCTTACCCTCCCACACACACCTGGTGTAGGGAGGGAGCCTTACCCTCCCACCCACACACACCTGGTGTAGGGAGGGAGCCTTACCCTCCCACACACACCTGGTGTAGGGAGGGAGCCTTACCCTCCCACCCACACACACCTGGTGTAGGGAGGGAGCCTTACCCACCCACACACACCTGGTGTAGGGAGGGAGCCTTACCCTCCCACACACACCTGGTGTAGGGAGGGAGCCTTACCCTCCCACACACACCTGGTGTAGGGAGGGAGCCTTACCCTCCCACACACACCTGGTGTAGGGAGGGAGCCTTACCCTCCCACACACACCTGGTGTAGGGAGGGAGCCTTACCCTCCCACACACACCTGGTGTAGGGAGGGAGCCTTACCCTCCCACACACACCTGGTGTAGGGAGGGAGCCTTACCCACCCACACACACCTGGTGTAGGGAGGGAGCCTTACCCTCCCACACACACCTGGTGTAGGGAGGGAGCCTTACCCTCCCACACACACCTGGTGTAGGGAGGGAGCCTTACCCACCCACACACACCTGGTGTAGGGAGCCTTACCCTCCCACACACACCTGGTGTAGGGAGGGAGCCTTACCCTCCCACACACACCTGGTGTAGGGAGGGAGCCTTACCCACCCACACACACCTGGTGTAGGGAGGGAGCCTTACCCTCCCACACACACACCTGGTGTAGGGAGCCTTACCCTCCCACACACACCTGGTGTAGGGAGCCTTACCCTCCCACACACACACCTGGTGTAGGGAGGGAGCCTTACCCACCCACACACACCTGGTGTAGGGAGGGAGCCTTACCCTCCCACACACACCTGGTGTAGGGAGGGAGCCTTACCCTCCCACACACACCTGGTGTAGGGAGGGAGCCTTACCCTCCCACACACACCTGGTGTAGGGAGGGAGCCTTACCCTCCCACACACACCTGGTGTAGGGAGGAAGCCTTACCCTCCCACACACACCTGGTGTAGGGAGGGAGCCTTACCCACCCACACACACCTGGTGTAGGGAGGGAGCCTTACCCACCCACACACACCTGGTGTAGGGAGGGAGCCTTACCCTCCCACACACACACCTGGTGTAGGGAGGGAGCCTTACCCTCCCACACACACCTGGTGTAGGGAGGGAGCCTTACCCTCCCACACACACCTGGTGTAGGGAGGGAGCCTTACCCTCCCACACACACCTGGTGTAGGGAGGGAGCCTTACCCTCCCACACACACCTGGTGTAGGGAGCCTTACCCACCTACACACACACCCTGGTGTAGGGAGGGAGCCTTACCCTCCCACACACACCTGGTGTAGGGAGGGAGCCTTACCCTCCCACACACACCTGGTGTTACCCACCCACACACACCTGGTGTAGGGAGGGAGCCTTACCCTCCCACACACACCTGGTGTAGGGAGGGAGCCTTACCCACACACACCTGGTGTAGGGAGGGAGCACACACACACCTGGTGTAGGGAGGGAGCCTTACCCTCCCACACACACCTGGTGTAGGGAGGAAGCCTTACCCTCCCACACACACCTGGTGTAGGGAGGGAGCCTTACCCACCCACACACACCTGGTGTAGGGAGGGAGCCTTACCCTCCCACACACACCTGGTGTAGGGAGGGAGCCTTACCCTCCCACACACACCTGGTGTAGGGAGGGAGCCTTACCCTCCCACACACACCTGGTGTAGGGAGGGAGCCTTACCCTCCCACACACACCTGGTGTAGGGAGGGAGCCTTACCCTCCCACACACACCTGGTGTAGGGAGGGAGCCTTACCCTCCCACACACACCTGGTGTAGGGAGCCTTACCCACCTACACACACCTGGTGTAGGGAGGGAGCCTTACCCTCCCACACACACCTGGTGTAGGGAGGGAGCCTTACCCTCCCACACACACCTGGTGTAGGGAGCCTTACCCACCTACACACACCTGGTGTAGGGAGGGAGCCTTACCCTCCCACACACACCTGGTGTAGGGAGCCT